CTGCTTTTTTCTTAGTACCATTCGCTTGGTATATTTTTTTCCATCCTTTAACCTTAAGGTAGCACCTATCCTTGAAAATGAGATGAGTTTCTTACAGACAAAAAAAAGATGGGTTTTGTTTCTTAATCCATTCACTTAGTCTGCGTCTTTTGACTGGGGAGTTCAGTCCGTTAATATTTAAAGTTGTTAATGAAAGATGTGCATTGAATCTTGTCATGTTTATTTCTGTTCACATTCTTGATATAGTTGTACTTTTCCACAGTTATACCTTCATTGAATTTCTTTCTGCAACTCCTTGGGTATAGTCATTCCTTTCTTCAGCTCTTTGTATTGCTTCAAGAACTCTCTGAAGGGCTGGTTTTGTGGACATAAATTCCTTCAGCCTATTTATGTCAGGGAAGATTTTATTTCCCATTTGACTATAATAAACATTTTTGCTGAGTATAGTAATCTGGGTTGGCATCTGTGGTCATTTAAAACTAAGAATACTTTGGTCCAGGCTCTTCTGGCTTTCATAGTTTGCACCGAAAAGTCAGCTGTGATCCTAATGGGTTTTCCTTTATATTGACTTTTCTTTTGCAGCTTTCAGTATTCTCTCTTTTTTCTGTACATTTAGTGTTTTTACTATGATATACTGTGGGGAGTTTCTTTTCTGGTCCTGTCTATTTGGTGTTCTCTGTGCTTCCTGTATTTGTATGTGGATGTCTTTCCTTAATTTCAGGAAATTCTCTTCTACAATTGAGGATCTGGTCCATGCCATTATTTTGGGATTCTTCTCCTTCCTGTATGTGTATGATTCATAAGTTTTGTCTTTTTATGGTATCACACAGTTCCTGCATATTCCATTCTTGTGCTTAAATTTTTCATAATCTTTCCTTGTGTGGTCTAGTTCATCCACTTTATCTTCCAGTCTTGATACTCTGTTTTCCATTTCATTCATCATATTGGTGAGGCTTTCTCCTGTTGTTTCTAATTGGCTTACTGAGTATTTCACTTCCTTCTTCATTTCAGCCTGAGTGGTCAAAATTTCTATCTCTTTTCTGAATTCATTCAGAAGTTTATCCCTATCTTCCTTCAGTTCTTTGATTT